TTTTCATGATGTTTATATATATTTTAACTAGTACAGAATAAATAACAAGGCGTGTTTGACAGAACTTAGACTAAGTTATAATAAACTTGAAATATACACACAGAAATGTGATCCTTTGTGGCAATTTATTTACCGGGCAGTAAAGAGGAAGATATTTTCTTTATTTTCTTTTAATTTTTTTTATCCATATGTTAATATTATGGACCAAATAAACGCTCATTCAGATTTGTTGGACATTTGTGTTCATCACATTTTCGGAAGAATTTATTTCAAAAAAAAAGAGTTTGAAATTCTAAAGTCACAATTTGTGATAAAATATATTATATTGTTGACTAGGTATGTGTTTCAGGAAAAATCGTTAAAGATAGAATCAGAATTATTCATTATTATTATTTAAATTTCCCTTCACGCTATTCAAGGCTTATTAGGAATTTGACTGACAGTATTATGTACTGACGCAGTATGGCGTGTTTAAAAGTTTAAAGTTATTACATAATTATATTCTTATAATTATAATAATATATTTTTAAATCAATAATTTAGTTTATATATTTAAATAATACAGATTCTTATTACGTTTATGTCGAAAATTATATATCACATTATCAATCTCTGTATTAAGAAATTCATTCAAATTAATGAGAATTTGTCATAGTTGTTTTAAATCACTAAAAGTTGGTTCATMAAATTGTTCTAAATAATATACACTTGAATACACGTTAGTATTGTGTTTATGTATGCAATAAATGTTTCATGCACATATAAAATTCGAACGCAAATAGCATATTTTAAAAAAAAATTTCATATACAGGTTTGAAATAAATTGAGAATATATACTAAAATGCACGTGAAAGGTGATGGTCGCCAGTATCCTGACTACATCGGCGTCTAAATCCACGAAACACAAGTTGACACGAGTTTTTTTGTTTTTTTTTTTTTGTTTTTGGGGGGTGCATTACTAGCTGAGTGGTTGTTATAGCCCCTATAAGTTTTATTAAATTCTCGTAGAAATAATTTAACGGGATATTTTACTTTTGTGTGAAGAATTTATGACTCATCATAGCTAGCTTGTAGTCTACAAAATAACTCGAACCAACGGCAAATTTATCGATACAAAATATTATATTATATCATAATAGTGCTAAAAAAAATAATTGCTTGCAGTTTCTTATGGCTTGCTTACAAAAAAATTGAATTTCAACGCCTAGTGCAGCAGATAATTACAAAACGTAATATTATTGTGTTGAATATTTGAAAAACACAATATTATTTTCTTCTATCATTCTACTAAATC